GTATCTAATAAAATTGGGAAAGGGGTAATAGAGTTCATTTAATTTTAATTAATTTAATTAATTTTAATTAATAGTATAATTATTTTTTAATTTTATTTCATCCTCTATATGATAACCCATATTCAACTTTAATTTTATAAGACATTTTATTTTGTGTTTGAATAAAAAAACCAGGGTACTGTATTTCTAGGAATTTCAATGCAATTTATTTTAAAGTTCAAAAACAAATGATGCATGGCATAATGTAGAGAAGAAAGATAGCCAAGCTGATTACAGGTGCATTGGCATGGATTCCTTGAAAACATTTAATAGCACTATTACTATTTTTTAATACCACTATTAACATTTTTAATTCTGATGTAAAATTATCTGGGTGATTCTATTTAAATGTACTTTAGTGGATGTGCTTTAATACAAAACTATGCAAATATGATAGCAGAGATCAATCAAATTATTGTTTTAAAAAATACTCGTTTAAATCAAGCATGATTCCTGGCGATCACATGGACATATCCAAGTAGTTTTCTTGCAAAGTTATGAATTTGTTTATATATTTAATTAATTTAAAACATTACATGTTATGGATGCGGATTGTGTTGCTTTCTTCCAGGTTGTTTTCAATACCCCAATCTTATAGAGAGAGATCCCTTTTTGGAATAATAGTTAAGGCATCAGGCCAGAAACCTGGAGACTGCGAGTTCTAGTCCCATCTTAGGTACAAAGCTAAGTGGATGACCTTGGGCTACTCTCTCTTCCTCAAGTAGAGCCCTTCTTCCCTAGGAAGGAGACAGTGGCAAACCACTTCTAAAAATCTTGGCAAGAATACTACATGGATTCATCCAGACATTCACTAAAAGTCAACACTAACTTGAACATGCGCAAAAAAAGGTCCAGTATATAGCTCTGAGATTTTATTGTGGTCTCCTGAGATCTGATTGTGCCTATCTTTTTTGGGATCTCACAAAGTTGCTTAGATGCTTCTACCTAGCTCAGTGGTTCTCAACCTTTTTAATGCCGCAACCCCCAACCGGTCGTAAGTCCAGGACTACTCAACCGGCCATAAGTCAAGGACTACTCAACTGGTGCAGCACCATTTGCAGAATGGGACTTTTGGCGGGCTCAGCAGGGCAGAGACAGCCTGGACAATTCCTATTGGCTTTTGAAAGCCAATCAAATTAGACTCTATTCAAGAGACTCTATTCTATTGGCTTTCAAAAGCCAGTAGAATAAAAGGGAGTAGCACAGCTAAGGAAAAGGGGAAAAAAATGGCAGACTGCATTGTTTTTTGACCCCCGTGAAATGGTCGTTCAACCCCAAATGGGGTCCCGACCCACAGGTTGAGAACCACTGACCTAGCTAATCAAATCCGTCCTCATTGCCTCAGTAATAAGTAAAATATGATTACAAGTAGTTTTCTGTTGATGAGGGCAATTGGGACCCAAATTTTCATCACTAAGCAATGAGGTCGTAAATGTGATTGCATTGCTTAGCATCAGCAATCCTGGCACTCCCCATTGCTCTCGTTAATCAAATCCAACTGGTTGCTAGGTAAGGACCCACAGGATCCAAGCCATTCTGGCTTGTTTTCTCCCAGCCCTGAGCCTCAGAAGGTAAGGGACTGCCCTCTCTTGAATTGCCCCACCTTTCTACCTCCCCAACCCACCTCTGCCCTTTTAGCTGCCCTATATAGTGGCCATGGCAATGCAATATTGCTACATAAATATGATCTAAAGCAGGGATCCCCAACCTATCGGCCGCAGCCCCTAGTGGCCATGGCCTACTGGCCACAAGGCCATGAGACAAGCTGACCCACGCATGCACTCACCCCCACTCGTGCTAGCACCCATGGATCTGTTTGCTCATGCATGCAGGACTAGTGGCGGAAACAATCACTAGTGGATGCATGGGTTGCATGGACCGTTTGCTCATGCATGCAGGGGTTAGAGGTGGTGGCATGCGCATACAGAGGCCACTAGCCCCGTGTGGGTTTTGCAGCTTGTTTGCGCATGCGTGTGGGACTAGCAGCAGTGGTTAGCACCTGTGCTTATGCACAAACGGGGCCACTAGTGCCATGGGGGTTTCACGGCCCGTTTGTGCATGTGCATATGCATGTGTGAGGGGCTAGCAGCAGTGGTTAGCACCTGCACACCTATGCAAATGGGGCCTCTAACTTACATGTGGGTGCGCATGGCCCCATTTCCGCATGCTCATGCATGTGTGTGCAAATTTCCCAGCTGCTCCCTTTCCTCCCAGCATGAAAAGGTTGGTGACCTTTGATCTAAAGCATGACCTATGATCTATCGTGTTTTAGATCATATTTATGCAGAGATATTGAAAACTTGAAAGAGTCCATAAATGTTTCGGTATTACTGTATATATGTCCATGTATCTTGCTATTTTCAGTTTTATTATTAATTATAAGGACAAAGCTGTACATTGCCACCATACAGCCATAAATTATGGCCATGGTAAGCCTTCTATCTCAACACATTTTTGTTTCTTCTAATTCATTGTTTACAATTTCCCTGAATTTCAAATGTAATTTTGTTCTATCAAAGAGCAATTCATTGCTCTGAATGCTTTCAACAAAATTAATAAATCCTTCATGTGTCCACTTAATCATTATATGTGTAAATTGACTAACATTTTACACTATTAATTCCTTCAATTCCCAGGTCAGATTAAGTCCTGACTGTTAGTCAATGTAAAATGTAGGAAGCTTTTCCCTATAATGGGAGCATGGTTTAATTGAACACAGAATCAAGTCTGGTTGCTTAAGTTGAAGAGCTCATCTTGCAAATAGCAATATGTAGTAGTCCACTAAACACAAATCAAAATTGGTAATTTACTAAAAAAAAAAAAAAAACGAGCAGTCTTTGTTCAATTGCTTTTGTTTTCACAGGAGCAGCATCCTCAAGTTTTTGCTATTGTTATTAAGGACAGATAGATGTGTTTATGTGTAAATTACCTTACTCCCTATGTAAAATAAAATATGTATTGATTTGATCTGTACAAATACATCTCAGTCCACTTCTGCTTTAAGTTTAAAGTTTTTCTTTTTTAAAAAATAATCCTGCATTCCTTTTGTTAGTTACTTCAAATAATATCCCTGCTTTCCCAGTTCACTCATTGTATTTGTGCGTCCCTAGGGATTTCAAAAGCTTCCTCGCTTGTTAGAAATGACGGGTTTATGAGTTTTGAATCAACATGAGACACTAGCATGAAGAATAGTGGTAAAATAAATACTATAGCAACAGCTTTCCATAGTAAAGCTTGCTCATAGAAATATGTCTAATTTCCAGTCTGGCTACAATTTGCCTTACATCTATGTTACATGGAGCCACTAAGGGCTTCGCTTGTGATTCCTAGTATTCTAAGAAAGTGTCCCTGAAAAAAAAAATCCCTCAACTCATATCACCCAGACGAGTTCTCTAGTTCTCTACTTCTAATTGCTGGTGCTTACACAATCACAATGGCACTCTTTGCACACAATAAAGAGTACCAGCAGGGTTGATAAAAAAAATTATTGTGCCAAAACTTGGCTTTCCCAGGTTTTTTCACAAATTTCCTTTCCCAGGGAAAGGTGCTTCTATTTTTCTACCTTATTTTCAGGGAACATAGTAATTTCTTTAAAATTTCTCTTTGCATGCAGTTGTTAGAGATGATGGAGCTGGTGGCTACTGCTGATTATTCTAAAGTCTTTCTGAATGCCATGTTCCACTCTGAAAATGGAAACGGTTTGTTCCTGCAGTCTTTTGGATTAAATTGAAACCAAAAGAAAGTAGAAAAGCTGTAGACCATTAGAAAAATGATCATACTTACCTCCTGGGCAGAAATATGATATATGACTCAAATACATAAATACATGGTGAAAGAAGGGATATTCATGGTGTATAGCGTTTGGCTACCTTCTAATTAAATGAGTGCAAGAATATCACACTTCACCCTGGAGGATTTCTCTGAAAATCTCCTTTGAAAGAAATGTCAACAGTGAAAAACAGCCCAATGTCCAAGGAATGCTAGTGGAAAGCATCAGAATAGACTGCTATATAATGGAGACTTATAGCAAAAAGGAGATCCTGCATTACAGCTTGCTATTCCCTTTTATTTTAAAGAAACTCCAGGCAAATGGTTTTGACTAAATAGGACATGATTCTCAGCACAATATAAAGGTGTGACAGGTACAATCTTAAAAAATCTTATTTAACCAAAACTAAACCAAATAGTTTTTTTTAGAAAAAAATGCAAAATGAATCCTCCAGAAGCTTAATATTATCAAACTATATATTTACTAACTGTAAAAATATAGGCATGAATATTGAGCAATGAAATTGATACAGTTTTAAATACATACTAATATAAAGTTCTCTGTTTCCAGCACCACAAAAAGATCTGGTCTACTACTCCAGCCCCAACTCAGTTAATGAAATAAAATTACATTCTCAGTGAAACACTTTTTTCCCCTTCAAATACAGTGAGTCTCAAAGTTGGAAGTTTTTAGTATCTGTTGTTTTATTTGTTTGTTCAATAAGGAGAATTACCAGAGAAATATGTTCTGAATGGACTAGGTAGATACATATTCATTAGACAAAGTCATTTTTTTCTTCTTAGCATACAGATTGCTGGCTGATGAACTTATCAATAGTTTCTTTGTTATTGTGTTGAAGTAACATCACCTATGTTATAAGGATTGCTTCCAAGTATAAACTACATGAGAATGATTTCAGGATAGCTACTTACATATTTATTATACAAATACGTATGACCATCTATCTTACAGTCAGTTCTGCATATTAGCATTCCACATAAAATAATTTGGCAATCATAGGAATATTGTGTAAGCTATAGATCATTGGCATATTTTCTATTTGCATTGTCTAGCAAGAATGAATATTTGTGATAATACCTGTGCTTTGACCTGCTAAAAAAGTATTAACTACTATTTATTCATCATTGTTCAAAGTATCAAACTTTAAATTATCTATTTTGCTATTTAATAGATCCTCCAACAAACCGAGCATCAGCTACTATACGTAACAATAAAAGTCAAGATATATCCCACATTGCATTTGGATCTAAAGTCCTTGGGCCACCTCCTCTCTCAGGACGAAGGCTCACAACAAGGGCATCTGGGGAGGTAAGAGCCATACTTCTTAAGAACAAATCTGGAATTTCTAATATGGAAACAGTAAACATTGTTGTACTGAAAACAATTTAAGAGGCAAAGAAATCTAGATCTTGTGAAGTGTCAATCCAACAGCTTGCCTCCCGGAATCATGGGTGCTCCGTCAATGGAAGTGTCAGAATCCAATTATATTTCATCTTTAATTATCAAACATAGAACATCCCAATTCTGCCTTCTCTGGATTCTGCCACAAGAGGGAGAGAAGGGGGAGAACAAAGGGGCTTTATGGCCCTCACTTCCTTCAGTATACTTCTAAGGAACTGAATGTGTTTATTGCAACCTCAAAGAGTTTGAATGTAGTTAGCACCAAAGAACCTTACCATAACAAAGGGGGCTATTTACCTTTCATGTAGTTTATCTGAAGTCTCCATCCAGACGGAAGAAAGGAATAAAGGGGTGGATTTGTGATGCCTGAAACTATCACTGGAAGGGGGGGTGATTGGGTGGGACTACTGGGGAACCTTAAAACCTTGAATGGGAGAGCTTGGACCCCAAGTCCTGTCTAGCACGCCTGCAACCACTTCTTCTTAATAAAGGATTCCTGTTGGAAGAATTATTCCAAGAGTTCTGTCTTCTTACGATGCAAAGTGGGGTGGGTCCTTACAGGAAGTTTTCAAGAAAATATTGAACAACCATTTGTCCAGGATGGTATAAGGACTCCTGTCTTGGACATGGAGGTTAGACTAGAAAATTTCCAAGGTCCCTTCCAGCCCTATGATTCTATGAACTATAATAGAGTAAGTGAGCATCCTATTGACCAGCTCTTCAGGATCACACTTAAACAAAATAACTGTAGTCTGGTGATAATATTGTATGTTTTTCCCCCAGATCAAGACCTAAAATACAGTAGTCTTCAACTTACAACCACAATTGGGACCGGAATTTCTGATGTTAAACAAAGTGGCAGTTAATTGAGTTGTGCCCAATTTTACAACCTTTTTTTTGCAATGGTTGTTAAGTGAATAATTGCAATTGTAAAGTGACTCAGGTGGTTGTTAAACAACATGCTTGCTGTAAAGTGGCTGGGATTACATGACCATGGGGATGCTGTTACGGTTGGAAGTGTGAGGACTAGTTGTAAGTAATATTTTCCCCATTTCATTGTAACTCCAAATGATCACTAAGTGAATGGTTGTTAAGTCAAGAACTACCTGTATGAACAGAAGGCCCATGAAAACAAATCCTTCCCATTCCAACTATCAATTGCCTTCCTAAATCAGAAAACAAACTATCAGAACACATAGGGGATTAATGATAGGAATGGAAGTAGTTTCCCTCCCATAGGCCTCCCACTCCCCTTCTCACCCAGAAAACAAAATTAAAGCAGAAAAACTAAATTGATGCCACTCTTTCATCCCTCAGAAAAAAAATTGGCAGGCTGGTTTATGGTGCCCAGTCTCTCCAAGGTACCCATCTTTAGTCTGCCATCTATCATAGTTGGTAGTGTAATAAAGTTTGGGGTCCTCAGTACCACATCCAAAGATGCCAGTGTGCCCCCAGATGTTTCTTTCTGCATGTGCCAGGGTTGGTATACCACCCATCCTTCATACATCTTAAAAACACCTGACCAAGAACAATAGAGGTTGGCACATTGCAAAACAAAACATTAGCGCTTTGTTTTTAAAAAATGCCTCTGGTTCTAAATAAGTCCCATCAGTGTTTTTAGAAAATGAAAATCCTGGGCAGCTGCAATCTAATGCTGTTTGTCATCGGAGCCCCAGAAAGGAGCATAGGAATGGCTCAGGTAAATCAGGCTTAAGCCTATCTTTGTTCAAAATTTTGTTATATTTGTGAATCAGATGCCTCTGGGTGCTTGAAAGCAGGAACTGAAAAATATACCTGTCATTTCTGCAAGGTAGACCAAGAAATCAACTCCAGAGGAAACCTAAAACTTCTTTTATTACGATTGGCTATCCTTACAAAATCTTGCCAGTCTGATTATGTTATATCTCTTTCTCTTTCTTACACGTCACTGAATTAGGGAGCTGGCTATCTCTTTCTCTCTGTTACGGACTTAAAATATGCTTTGCCTTTGTTGCCTTGATAATATAACTTCCATGTTTCCTTCAAGGTTCCCCTCCTTACTTGCTGCACCTCACCTGTGATAGTATCCTTGCAATTGGTATTTGGAGGCATTTGCCCAAATCCTGAGGTAGCATTGAGTGTCCAGATTAATAGCTTTTGATGGTTGCTGGGGAATTCTGGGAGTTGAAGTACGCGAGTCTTAAAGTTGCCAAGTTTGGAGATCCCTGTCTTAGACCATGCTTGGCCCAGAACTTTTTCCAGTGTCTCGGCCTGTTCAATTCAGTCCAGCATATTGGGCATGTTGCAGTGTTAACTGGTGGAAACTAAAAGAAGGGCCTTCTTGGTTGTAGATTTGTGGAATATTTTTCCCCTCAGAGATTAGAATGGCCCCAACCCTGTTGGGTTTTCACAAAGCTTTTAAAAACTTGGCTAAATACCTAGGCCTGGACCTTATAATGTGTTAAGGGTCCCATTTCTTGGCTTTACTGTTAATTGGTTAACTATCTCGGCTGCTAAATGTATTTATTTTCTGGATGTTTTTACATTTTTATTGTTCTTAATTCTTCTAGAGTTTTATATAAGCCACCCAGAATCACTTAGTTGAGATGTGTGGCTGTACAAATAGAATAAATAAATAAAATAAACTTGAACAGTCTCAGACAGGGAACCAACAGGAATAGGATTGGTTTGGTTTTTCTTTGTTATTTTCTCAGATGTGGTAGACAAATGTGCAAAGAGAGATGCTGTTAAGAGTTGCGGAAATTTAGGAGACAACATTGTAGGATGCTAAAAGATACGGCAGATATGATATCGGAACATTCATTATAATCTGGCAGATTATAATCTGGGATATTTTACAATTGTTTTATGTGTTAAACTAATTTATTATTCTATCCATGTATTAAGTCAGGATAGTGATGTCAGAGATTTTACTTTGAGGTGACATCACAAAACTGATCTTCAGTGAAGGCTCTGCCTCTTACCCTTGCCTTCTATTGCTTTGGCGACATTCTAGTACTTTGGCAAATTTTCACAGTGAGAATTCATTATGTAAGAAATATTTGGCTCAGTGTAGATGTCAGCTTTACCAGGTAGACCAGTAGGGAAACATGACCAGATAAACTAAATCTACCTTATTATAAAGTTACATTAACAGAATCTTGCAAGTCTGAAAGTACAATTCTCACACCATCATCTTTACATCCGAGAATTTAGGGAGGGTACCTCTGGAGTCCTTTGCCCTGCATATTACTCAGCTGTGGGCTCTGCTGTCTCTTATCTGACCATTTCCAAGGCTGTATCTCTTCCCTCTGTCTCCCAGAGTATTTCCCACATACTACTGTATTACATTTCATGAATATTCTTATTCCTGTGTCCACCTTCCAACCTCCCTAGCATATCAGTTGGCATTTTGACAACAGTGAAATGAAAAAAGAATTCAAACCTTCAGTGGGGTTTTTTTCTGATCAAATTCGAAATGCCGAGTTCCAATTTCTCATAACCGATGTAAAAGTGCAACAGAGAGATTGCAACATGTGCTTGTAATGTAATGCTTTCTATTAAGATCCATCAACATTTGGAAAAATTTGAAGGCATCGATAGATGGGGTATTGATAGTGCCAAATACTAAGCAAAAATGTGTTTGCGTCTGTGTAGACACAGATACACACTTTATACCTTTTACTGAAAACTATTGTATTTAAAGTACAGATCTACTGTATTTTTAATACTAATAAAAGCAGTATTCTGTCCAATGTTATATGTTTGTAGTATTTGTCCTAATAAATACTGAAGCGTGAAAAATGTTGCTACATTTTTTGCTAGCTGCATGACTTTTATTAGTTATTGATTTCAGTGAGATGTAAATGTTTTAACATTTTCTAGTAGATGGAGAGTAGAGATTTTCCACTGTTGAGACAGGCAGATTAGGCAGCAGTCAAGAAATTCACAGTCATGAATAGCTATCACAAGTGTTAATATTAGGGATGCTATCTTCATTGAACTATATTGAATAATGGCAGCAAGAGATTTTATCCCCAAACAATACAATTATGTTAACAGAACCAAAGAAGAAATACCCAATTTTTAAATAACCTGCTCTTTGGGATTAATGGAGAGGCATAACAGACCAATTCCTAAATATTACACTGTACTATTTTATTATTCCAAGTCAGAAAAATAGATATCTCTTGTGTGTATATATGCATATGTATTATATAAACATGCATCCTTAAGTCAATCTGGACTATGAGCAAACTTTTATCAGTTGTCAATCAGTCAGTATTCAATCAGTCAATCATATCTATTTCACTACACTTTAAGTATCTAATCCAAGATAAAGGTGAGACAGATTGGGAAAATGGATTATAACTGTCTCATGGTTACAAATAGAATCTTCTTTATTGGACTGGTCATTTCCAGTATGGATGTTCTCAGCTATCCGTTCTATATATGATGGCCTGAGAATTGCATTATAGTTTCTTGTGTATCCACCTGACTTTTCACAGCTCTCTTTGTTGGGCACATCAGTGTCATTAGGATGGTCTTCATCATTAAGGCAAGTAACAATAGCATTTAGACTTATATACTGCTCTATAGTGTTTTATGGCATTCTTTGTGCAGTTTACAAAGTCAGCCTATTGCCCCCAACAATCTGAGTCTTCATTTTACCAACCTCGAAAGGATGGAAGGCTGAGTAAACATTGAGCCAGTAAGGATCAAATTCCTGACAGTGGACAGAATTTGCCTGCAGTACTGCATTCTAACCACTGCACCACCACAGGGCTCAAAAATATAATTATGATTAGAGTTTCTGGGGGTGATAATCTTATCCAGTCGTGTCCCACTCTTGGCAATTCTATGGGCCAAGTCTCTCCCTGTCTTCCGATCTTGCACTATGTCAGTGGTGGCGAACCTATGACACGCGTGCCAGAGGCGGCACTCAGAGCCCTCTCTGTGGGCACATGCACCGTCGCCCCAGCCCCGCCTCCTCCCATGGTCCCCTCCTCACCAGCAGCCATCTGGAGGGGAATCACCCCCAGGCACTGCCCACGCAACGCTGTGCAGCTAAGGACATGGTAGCCAGACAGCGGGGACAAGACTCTGCCCTTGCACCCCATCATGTGCAGATGCTGCTGCAGGGCACGGGCGGAAGGCATGGCCATCATGGTGCTGTTGGGCTGCCTGGGTGATCTGTGGTGGGCCATGGAGGTGGTGGGTGCTTTACAGCCCTCTCTAAGCGGTTTACAGAGTCAGCATATTGCCCCCCAACAGTCTGGGTCCTCATTTTACCGACCTCGGAAGGATGGAAGGCTGAATCAACCTTGAGCCAGTGAGACTCGAACTGCATTCTAACCATCGCGCTACCATGGCTCTATAGCAAGGCAACACAGTCCTGCCTTGTCCTGCTGAGCGTCACATTTTCTTCCTTGTGTTAAACGTGATAATGAAATATATTTGTAATGTAAATTTAAATTTCCTAATTTACTATTTTTCTAGCTGCTAATTTTTTAAATTATAGAAGGGAAGAATAGTTTATTTTGAAAAAAAAATACTCACTGAGACTTAATAATATAAGCTTATATCTAGATAAAATGTTACTTGGATACCACTGTCCAAATTTAACCTTTTAATTAAACTTCCAATTCAGTTTTTTCTCTCTTTTTCTTAATTTTCCTTATACTGAACTGATATATCTTTTTTTTTTAAGTCAACAAAATCGAGCCTTAGGACAAAAAGGTCATGCCAAATGCCAACTTTGGAAAAGAGAGCAGAACCAGTACAAGATACAGTAGTGACTGAGCAGTCTCCATCATCATTCGATATGGCTTTAGATAAAAAAAATATAGAAAATATCTGTAACACAAATCAAGTTTCCCTGGACAAGGGTAAGATGCTGATGCAATAGTTATAAAAACTAACACTGCAACATTTTTGAATTGTTCTTTATTAATTGCTTCAAGGAAACTATGTAGTAAATTTAATAACTCTTTCCTCTGCTTTACTGTTTGGACAACTGAGTTTTCAACAGGTGAGTGACCTGATTTTAAAATTCGGAAGGTTATCGAGTGGTACGTTGGAGATGGCAATAAGACATTGCAGTGGAAATAGATACTTGTAGAGGGGTTATTTTCTTTTATTACTAAATCGTTTTCCAATATTCTTGCAAGGCAGGTTGAGTTGACAGAAAAATCATATCACATCAGCCAGTGAGCTCCATGATTTAATGTCAGAATATTTCCAGGGCCAAGAATTACTCAAAAATTGTATTATATTTAGGAATTATTGCAAAAGTCTTACTTGTATATATGTATCCATAACACTTTGTGATTGATTCTAGGTTTACATATGGAGGTATATCATTTGATTTATATAAATTCATTGTTGTGTGCTTGGTAACAAGCAGTTGAATATATGAGTTCATTCTATAGAGAAAAAAAGTAATATGGAGTTGAAAAATGGGATCATAGTGAAAAATCATATCTGTAATAAATTAATTTGGTATAATAACCTAATTAAAATTCTATATGGATTAATCTGGAAGTTGAATCATGGCAATTGGACTTCACCGCAGATTGAAGAAGCCTCTTGGATAAGGAGCAAAAAATTTCATATCAAAAAGAAAAAGAAATCCAGTTGCCATGACTCAACTTACAGACAAATCTACCCGGATGACTGAGAATCTTCATCGACATGCATGGATTAGCTTTTGTTCATTAAAGTTGTTTTGCAAATTTAAAAACAAATCCTGCTGATTTTCAAAAAATATTCCTTTCCCATTTAAGATTGCAGAGAGCCAGCATTATTTTTCTAACTTTTTTCTTCTAGGCAGCCATGCCTTCCTATCTGTGCCATTGTGAAAATTTACAGTGATGGCCCAGAAACAGTTAGTAGCACAGCACAAATGTTATATTCCTTAACATCACAGCTCTTTCAGTGTAAGATAATACACTGTTTTTCTTGTTTTCCAAGGAAATCTGAAACAGTTGACATAAAATATAAACGCCTACATTACAGGGATTATGAAAATCAAATCTTTCAGAATGGAATTTCCTTCTGAACATTAATAAAGATTTGCACAATTACACAAAGTGCATGTAAATAAAGAATTTCTGTGCTTTCAGAAGAAAAGACAAAAAAACTAAAAATAAATTATTCTTGTAAACCTTTATATATACAGTACTAAAAAAAAGCAAACGAAAGAGTGAAACTCTTCAAATTTTTTAATGCTATTGTATTCAGTATTGCTTTGGAGCAGATTTTAGTTTTAAAAAATTAAAAGCCCAAGTGGCTAGTTTGCTATGCAGTTTCTAGATATTAAAACAGATGCTTAATGAACAGTTGCTCTCCTGTTTTTAAGTCAAATTTGATACTGGTTAACTAATAGGCATTCTGACCGCTCTTAGGATACTCTAACTCAATCAAGGGAATAAAAAATATAATAGGAAAAGCTGCCAATTATTCATAACACAGTGAGTAAGAAAGTGAAAAGTAGAGATAAGAAGTAAGAGCATTGTAGCAATTAGAAACATAATTCTCTATATCTTGTATGCCATCAACAATCTTTATCAACTTCTCTTATATTTATATCACACCTTTTATTCAGAAGTTCAAAGATAATAATAATAATAATAATAATAACAACAACAACAACAACAACAACAACATCATCAAAAACATCTACCAGACTATCCCATCTCCTTTACATGGATGATCTGAAGCTATATGGAAAAACATCATCTGAAATAGAATCGCTGCTCAACACTGTCCGTATATATAGCCAAGATATTGTAATGGAGTTTGGCTTGGACAAATGTGCCACACTTACTATCAAACAAGGAAAAATAGTGAAAACTGAAGGAATCAAGATGCCCCACGAAAATAACATTAAGAGTCTGGATGAGGAAGATTACTACAAATACTTGGGTATCCTTCAAGCTGACAACATCAAGCACACTGAAGTCAAGAAAAAGATTAGAGGTGAATACATCAAGAGAGTGAAGAAGATCTTAAAGTCCAAACTCAATGGAGGAAATACCATAAAGGCAATCAACACCTGGGCAATTCCCAGTCATTAGGTACACAGCTGGAATAGTGGACTGGACTCAAGCAGAACTAAAAGCAATGGATAGGCAGACCAGAAAAATAATGACAATGAATCATGCCCTTCATCCACGCAGTGACATTGATAGACTTTATCTACCAAGGCAAATAGGTGGGCGTGGAATGCTACAAGTACATCAGATGGTTGAAGAAGAAAAAATGGCTTTGGAAGAATATCTGAAGAACAATGATGAAGATGCACTGAAATTAGTATATCAGGAAGGCTTACTGACTACTGGAGAGACCAAACTGGCCTACAAGAAAGACCAAATGAAGAACAGAATAGAGGCATGGGAAGACAAAGCACTACATGGCCAATACATGAAAAAAATAGCTGGGAAAGCAGATAATAATAAAACCTGGCAATGGCTAAGAGCAGGAAAATTGAAGAAAGAGACCGAGGGACTAATTCTGGCTGCACAAGACCAAGCCTTAAGGACAAATGCATACAAAGTCAAAATTGAGAAGACAGCAACAGACAGTAAGTGCCGCCTATGCAAAGAAGCTGAAGAAACAGTGGACCACCTGGTAAGCTGTTGCAAGAAGATTGCACAGACTGACTACAAGCAGCGGCATGACAAAGTAGCAACAATGGTGCATTGGAAGATCTGCAAAAAATATCATTTGCCTGTAAGCAAAAACTGGTGGGATCATAAAATAGAGAAAGTCATAGAAAATGATAAAATTAAACTGCTCTGGCACTTCAGAATTCAGACAGACAAGCACCTGCAACATAACATCCCAGACTTAACAATTGTTGATAAGAAAGACAAAAAAGTCTGGATAGTGGATGTGGCAGTGCCTGGAGACAGCAGAATAGAAGAGAAAGAACTGGAGAAGATAACAAAATACAAAGACCTACAAATAGAAATAGAAAGACTGTGGCAAAAGCAAGCAAGGGTAGTACCAATAGTATAGGCTCCTTGGGTGCAATCCCAAAACAACTGGAGCACCACTTGAACACCATTGGCATTGACAAATTCGCTATTAGTCAATTGCAAAAGGCGGCCTTACTAGGAACTGCTTCCATCCTGCGAACGATATCTGTAATACCATCAAACATCCACATCTGCCTATCCCAGGTCCTGGGTAAGGACTCGATAGGTAGACAAAATGCCAAATCCAGTCTGAACATCTGGCTGACTGTGCGATGATCAATAATAATAATAATAATAATAATAATAATCCCCCAGTGAGGCACTACCTTGACGTGGTTGTGGGGCTTGTGTACTCTGAGGAAGATGAGAGCTATGCCAGAGGTTCAACCATACTGGACAGGTCTCATCAGAGGAGTCAGACAAAGAGTGTCTCTCCCATAAAAAATATGGTGAGACGTAAATTTCAGAATGCCATACCGGCTCGGACGTCGCCCGGGTTAACAAGGTCCGCGCTAGATATTGGAGTTCCTGGATATCTGGTGAAAAATGGGTTACAGGACTCAGGACTGTTGGCTGAGCAACCAGGGCCAGCAGCTGCAGAACTACTGGAAGAAAAGGTGTTTACCCGTCGCAGATACACAGTGATGGAAAACAAAGAAATAATGATCTGTTACTACAGATCAAGTCCAACAAGAAGAGGATATCTAAAACGAATGCACCAGTTCTGGAAAGAACAACATCCAGAATCAGAAATAACAGAACAGAGACTAGCAGATCAACGCCGATTTATAACACGAAATAAAGTATTCACAGAAACAGAATTGGACGAACTGCAAAGGTTTACCCAGGGCAAAGAAATCAAAGCCTTACCAGAAGTAATTCAGAATGTAGAGGCAAACCAGGGGGAGTTGGCAGTGAAGAATCCAGCAGAGATATACAACTGTTCTCATTTGGAAACCAGGCACCTCTTCCTCAGGAAGAACAAAACCCTCTAACTAAAGAAATAAAAGAATTGAAACAAAGAATAACTGAGCATCTAGAACAGCACAAAAACAACAGAATAAGGCTGCCTGCATTGAAGCTTGTTCCAAAGAAACAGCTAGCACAAGTATTAAAAGATGCAAATACTGCAATATCAAGTATAAGCACCAATTCACTGCAAGAAACAAACCAACTAATGTACAGCACAGCTGCAGTTATAACTGAATACCTGGGATGCAAAATCAACAAAGAAGAAAAACAAACAAACAGTGCACCAGAAAAATGGAAGGTTAGACTAGAAAATAAGATCAGCAAGTTAAGATCACATGCAAGCAAGCTAGAACAGATGAAAGAAAAGAAGCTGAAGAACAAGAAGACCAAAGAATACCTAATCAAGAAATACCACTTAGAAACAAGGAAGATCAAGGAAGCACTGGAAATAATAAAGCAACAAATAACAGCTATAGCCAGGAAAATCAGTAGATATGAAGCTCGAATTGCAAACTATAGGCAGAACCTCCAATTTCAATCCAATCAGAAACGTTTCTACCAATCCATCAATGGAGAAACTGCAAGGAATCAGTCAGTACCTGACAAGGAAGAAACAGTGCAGTTCTGGAAGCAGATATGGGATAACCCAAAGAAATACAACAAGGATGCGGCTTGGTTAAAAGAGGTGGATGCAAATAAAACAGAAGTTGAAATGAAAGAACTAGTAATAACAACAAAAATGGTAGAAAAAAGAGCAAAGAAAATCAAAAATTGGTCAGCACCAGGTGAAGATGAACTGCATGGGTTTTGGTTGAAACATCTAACTGTTATACACCCACTCATTGCCAAGCAGTTCAACAATATACTACAAGGAGGAGAAATTGAAAAGTGGCTAACAACTGGGAAAACCTACCTAATAATGAAAAATCCAGCAA